GGATGGTGGCTACCCTTGCCCTTTTGGTATAGAACTTCATTTTTAAATGGACAGTTGAGGGCACCGCTGTCAGCTCCGCCAATGTCGGCCTCCCCAAGATGCAATTGTATAGGGACGGGCAGTCAATGACGAGGAAGCGGACCTTGACCTGTCTTGTAGCCGTTCCTTCCCCGAACGTCACCAGGAGCTCGACATAACCCCAAGGTTTGGAAGTCGAGCCGTTGAAGCCTTGAAGGTCTGAACCCACATACGGAGAGAGGTGTGAGTCGTCCAGTTGCAAGGTCCGGAACAGCTGGCTGTACATCACGTCGACGAAACTCCCTTCGTCGACCAGGATGCGATGCACGTCAAAATTGGCCATCTTTGCCCTTATCAGCAAGGGGATGACTGCGTTCGGGGCTCCGCCGGGGAGCTCTTCTAAGTAGAAGGTGATGGGTTCTGACCTGCCCTTCACCCTTTCGAACGTCACAGTTTGTGGAGGAGCTGCGTCGACCAGTTCGTCCAACTTCCTCTTGGCTGAATTGATGGTGAGGTCGTTGAACCCGCCCCCGTTGATGACCATGGCGGAGGGGAAGTATTCCCACCTGCTGTGTGTCGTCAGGGGCTCCTGTAGGAGCTCGGGAATTTCGAAATCCTCGGGCCTGGTTACCGAGAAGGCGGTCTGGATTGGTACTGACTCGTCAGATGGTCGGGCATCTTCTTCGGGCTCCTTAGCTTCATGGGCGTCACGACGGGGAGCGTCGTTTCGCCTGTACTGTGCGAGCCTCCCTCCTTTGATGAGGGTCTCAATGGCGTCCTTGAGGTGGACGCAGTCCTCTGTCAAATGACCATGACTCCTATGGTATTGACAGTATTTATTTTTGTCTGCCCCTGGCTTGGCAGGAGCTGGCCGGGGACGCTTGACGCCACCGTCTTTGAAATCTGTGCTAGCACACTCCGCCAAAATACGCTCGCGGGAAGCCGTGAGCGGAGTGTACTCGGTGAAACGGCCCGAGGGGCCCCTTTGTTCCCGGACCTCCCGGGGTCGATCTTCCTTCCTTTTCTCCCCGGTTCGTCGGGGAAGAGGGTCTTGTCGTGAGCTGCTGCTATGATTGGGAGCGCGAGCCCTGGAGTCTCGTGCCCTGTTGGCAGCTTCTCTCTCCTCGTAGTCCATGTATGCTCGGGCTTTGTCGAGGAGAGCGTCAAAAGTTGCAGGTGGCTCAATACCCACAGCTTTTTTGAATTCTGTGCCGGGGAGGAGGCCCCTCTCCAGCAAATATCTTTTCATATGGTCCGTGCAGGGGACCTGTATTGCTTCCCGGTTGAAGCGGTTGATGAATTCCCTCATGGTTTCATCCTGTCTTTGGATGATGGCCTCGAGGGTCGCCTCGGTCTTCGGGTGGCGCCGAGAAGCTGTGAAGGAACTGATGAACTGGTTCTTCAGGTTCCGCCACGAGGTAATGGAGCCCGGGGCGAGTCCTTTATACCAGTCCATGGCCGCCTTCCTGAGAGTTGTGGGGAAGAGACGGCACTTGATGGGCCCCCCGACATTATGATAGTGGAGCATGGCTTCGAACCCGTCAATGTGGTCGACCGGGTCTGCTACGCCGTCATACTCCTTCAGATGTGGGGGTTTCTCCATGCCCGGGGGAATAGGAGCATCCATGATGGCCTGCGACAGGGGACCGCGGGGGTCGTCCTCGTCGCTCCTCTCCGGAGAAATAGAAGGGGTCCTGTAGTTATGTCTGGCACGATGATCGTGCTGAGATTCCCTCGAGCGTGGTGCTCGGTGGCTGAAGGTCACTCGCCCGTCTCCGGGGTGCCTCCTGTCGTGCCTTGATGGGTCGCGACTGGGTTCCCCGGCTGGAATAGCGGGCTGTCTCTCGTATTGGGGCCGCCTCTGCTTTGGTCGGGGAGAGGGGCTCCAGGAGTTCTCCCTGTAGTGTCTCCGCGGGGGAGAAGGGTGTCGAACTTCTTCGACCCGAGGAGGTGGAGAAGGTGGCCTCTGGTGTCTCCTCGGGGGTCGTCGATCATTTTCCAGTGCCCTTAGTCTTTCTCCTTGGGCAAATATGAGATAATTTGTTTGGTTGATGGCCGCGAACAGTGCCTGAGTCGTGGCATCTGCCCCGGCAGGAACTGGGACTTCATAGAACCGGGCAGCTCTGCGATAAGCGAGAGCTTCCGGGTCGTCTTCGAGTGCTGGAGGGGTCGTAGAGGACGACGCAGTAACCCCGTCCCTGTGGGATGTAGGTCCAGGGGCGGTTGTCACAGGGATGGCATTGTGGCCGGGATCACCGGGATTGTCGAGGTGTCCATTCTTGTCCACGGGACCGTTATTAGTGTCGGCGACACGGACGTGCTGCTCTTCGCGAGCTGGATCAGCCATGACAGGTAATTGAATTGAGCTTTGGTCTTTGGAATTGTTCGTTAGACGGGGAAGCTGTTTCCCACAGACGGCGCCACTGATCTGACCTGATCAGAAAAGGACCGTCACGGCTGGCTCCGAGCAGAAAGCTTTTTTGAACGAGGTGGGGGGGGGGGGGGGGGGTACCTGCAAGGCACTCCGATGCTGAAGTAAGTAGGAGTACGAGCATATAATAGTAAGTTGAGGTTAGAATGATGAATACCTGACCCTCTGGAAACAGAGGGTATTTATAGCCCCCAGCGCTGGGCCAAGGTTCCTTCATTGGGCCGGGCGGATTTGGCCCAATGGAGGAACTGCCAGGTTCTACGTGGGTAGTGGGGACCCGCACGTGGTCCCCTTCCTGGATGTTCTGCGTGAAGTGCGGGCGGACGAAGACGCGGTCTTTCCGGAGTATCGTTGGGGGAATGGTGGACTGAGTCTGCCCTAGTTGGGATGCTCGAGACAACGTCGAGCTGGACAGCAGGGTGTCGAGCTGGACGTTAGGACGTGGAGCTGGACGGCAGGGTGTCGAGCTGGACGTCAGGACGTCGAGCTGGACGGCAAGAGGTGGAGCTGGGCATCATCACGTGGAGTTGGGCAGCGGGATGTCGAGCTGGACATCAGGATGTCGGGCACGGATGTGACCCCTTTGCTCGGCGTGGTCCTTAGTAAGTCCCTTTGGACTGGGCCTTAGCAATGCTTTTGGGCCTGTCGGGCCCAGTCCAGAACAACAATTATTAAATATTTTAAATCAGAATATTTACAAAATTCAAATGAATTTTTTATCTGAAGTCTCTGAATTGGTCAAATATTTAATTACCTTTTATTAAATATTTTAAATCAGAATATTTACAAAATTCAAATGAATTTTTTATCTGAAGTCTCTGAATCCACTCTCACAAACTATGAATTTTTTATCTGAAGTCTCTGAATTCACTCTCACAAACTACACATGTTCAAAAAAAAAGTTGTGCTTTCAAGGAAACCACATTTTAAAACCCCTAAAAACATCTTTATTATTCAACTTTAAAATACAAACTATTAAAATATTCCGGTAATGAATTATTAGAGTAGAAAATGCAAATAATATACATTTCATTTAAAATTGCACTTGTTCATGACAATTTTTATTCAAATATAAAGATTTACACAAATTTGTTACAACGAGTAAGTTCTCAAGCTAAAAGTTCAAGTGCACGTTTTATTATTTTTATTGAACTAATACAATAGTAGTCAACAACAGGTTGGCTTCTCAAAATGAGTATACATTATCCACCTCTTGCAAATCCTTTACTGCGATAATCTTGGACGCACGTTGCAACACAAGGCGCTATACACACTCCTTTGAGAGGAACCAAAATACTGGTAACCAATCCTAAATCAACCAAAAATTAGAATTAATAAGCGTGTGACATTGTCTCATTATTTTCATAAAAAAATATCAATCTAATGTTATGCCGACCTTTGAATCGACTAATCCATAATTAAATATTTATTGATCTAGATATCTTGTTTAAACGGAAATTCAAGAAATAAAACTTCTTAATGAAGTTAATCAATCACATAAATTTTCAAAACAAGTCTATTTTACTTTCTTTTGAATATAAACATACAATATATGTTTCAATAAAAGATTTGGATTTAGTTAATTGTATTTAAAAAATGAAATAAAAGAGAAAAAATAACAAAACTACATGCCTACCTGAACTAACCATCAAAACAAGTCATATAACACCCGATAGATAAGATTGATTGGTGTGATAAGCCATTTTATCAGATTTTAACTTATATTTTATTACTTTATAATGAGTATGACTAACATAATTTCTATTATATATGCCTAAAAAATATATTAGCATTATTATTTTATGATATCTCATTTGACTATTAACTTTATTTATTTATAAAATGAATATTAAAGTAAAATCCATATGAACACATTAAAGAGAGGTTAGGTTTAAATAAATGAAATAGTCAATAAAATAAATATTATAAATATTAAAATTAATTTTCATTTTCTATCGAATTAAGAAAGGAATATAAAATGATATTATTTATTAGTATATGGTTTAATATCTATAATAAATTTTAATGATTAAAATATTATAAATAGATTGATAAATACTTAAAATTATGGGTGATATATAAATACTAAACTTATAGTTAAATTGAATATATTATTATCTTATAAAAAATAAATAAATTTGTAAAAGACAAATAGAATTTCCCATAGGGGAAGGACAAATAGAATTTCCCAGATGGTACAACATACACAAGTATATACCAGTTCACTCCCATTGTGCATGTCCATAATCACAATGAGTATACACCAGTTCACTCCCATTGTGCATGTCCATAATCACTCTGTATTTTGATAAGTATACACCAGATCATTCCCATCAGGTACCAGCACATAAAAGTCACTACAGAGTAAGACATGTCTGAAAGTCGAACCGGAACAACGGAAACCATTAGTTTAATAAAATTTGATCATCATATAATATATTCTAACAATGACATGAGTTAAGCACACATAACCTTTATGAACATATCAGAAAAGTGCACATAGCTACACACTAGCTACAAACATGTGATTAGTATCAGAGAATAACTAATAATGCACTCTGTTCCCGATTTTGAAACAGTCTGCACTTGGGGGGGAAATTACACAATTCAGTCAATACAGGTTTGTTATGCAAACTCACAGCGAGTACCCGAGTCGCTAAGCGAAATTCCATCGAACAAAGTCAGAGACTTCACCATGCTCTTGAAAACGAAGTTTGCTAAGCGAACTCCTAGCGAGACCCCGATTCCCTAAGTGAACGCTAGCGAATAAGTCATTAATTCAGTCCCAGATTGTCTCTAAGAAAACCATGTGTTTGTGAAGCGAAGTTTGCTTCACAAGGCTTCTTGCCAGCTACAGAACTTCTCTAAGCAAAGTATAGTTCATTAAGCAAACTCTATTACGCCCAAAAAACCAAAAACAAACAGAAACGGGTTTGGGGTTCCAAATCACCAATTCTCCACATGCAAACCGAATTTGGAAACATACAGATCGTACAAGGATTGTATCAGAATCATGAATTATCAAGAATTAGGATGCATATATAACTCGAAAACCCTTCTTTCCCATTTTCCCCAAATCAATATTTTCCCCAAGTCTTTAATCTAATGAGACTCACCTGAATGGAGAATGAAGAAGCTGGAACAGAATTTGGATGATGAATCAAGATCATAACTTGGCTTGGGCATGCAAGAGATGCTAGTTTGGTCCTAACAATAATGGCTTCCTCTCTTTCTATTCCTTTTTTCACGGTTCTTTCTCTCTATCCCAACAAAAAAATGTTTTGTTTAGTAAATGGAATAAGGAAAAGACCAAACATGCTTTTAGGTTGTAATTTAAGTGAAAGGGACCATAATACCCTTAGCTCTTAGTAATACAATCACTCTTCTAAAACCATCACTAAAATAATTAGGAATAGAAATTAGAGACTTAATTATATCGGGTATTACAAATGATTAGTTAGATCTTCACATTAATGTTTCAAAAAATTGAAACAATCATCAAACTGATGATGAGGATATTAAGTCATTGTTTATTGGTCACATTGCAGAGTTTTTGCTCAAACTATATGATTAAACTAGATTACTTGGTCTAATAAAGTGGTCATTACTAAAATATTAATAAAGTCGCCACCAAAATATATTTTTTAAACTGTTCTAATAGATTGATCTCTTAATTTTAACCGCATGGGATTTATAAAAACTATTCTAGTGTTAAAAAATGTCTCTGCGAATTTCTGCGTGAATTTATATGTTCAATTTTAAAACATATTTATAATTTGATAAAAATTAAAATAACTCCTATGTAATTTGACTCGTATTTTATTAGTCAATGCTTTAAAAATAAGTAACATATATGTATTACAAATTTATTTATTTTTAATATAATAATAATCATCAATTAAATTAAACTATAAGTTTAATATTTATATATCACACATAAGTTTAATATTTATCAATATATTTATAATATTTTAATCATTAAAATTGATTATAGATATTAAACCATATATTGATAAATAATATCATTTTATATTCCTTTCTTAATTCAATAGAAAATGAAAATTATTTTTAATATTATAATATTTAATTTATTGACTATTTTATTTATTTAAATCTAACCTATCTTTAATGTGTTCATATTGATTTTACTTTAATATTCAATTTATGTATGCTTGAAATAGAGTATTGACGGGGCAAATCTAGCAATGGCGTCCAGTTTAGGCCAATCTTGTGTGCCTTTATATATGTGTATGCTTGAAACAGAATCCTGACAGGGAAAATCTGGACATAGCATCCAGTTTAGGTGAATCCTATTTGCTTTTGTATGTGTGTATGCTTGAATCATAATGGATCTGGATGCTAGGACGTAAATCACTCATGACTTAGACCGTATAGAGTACTGACAGGGCAAACCTGGCCATGGCATCCAGTTTAGGCCAATATTGTGTGCTTGGTATGTCATAACACCTTGGCTACCATTGTGATGTGTTTGTGTGGGTCCTTGTGCGGTGTTCCACCAACTGTTAATTGCATCGTGTGCTTGGTATGGTGAGGTTATTATGCCACTTAGGCAATATCATCACATGGCTAAACTCACCTCTAATGGTGTCTGTGATACGGTGGGAAGAACTGACTGTTTTTTAGAATGCTGGTTTGCGTTTGTATTTGCAAAATGTCGTGCTAAGCAAGAGTCGCCACCGACTTTTATTTTATCCAACAAGGAAAGGAAAAAAGCACAGAAAAATTCCTTTTTTCGAGATATTTCTCGGGTTCGGGGGGTAGATTATAGAAAGGGAAGGTGTTAGCACCCTTTCTATCAGTGGTTATCCACGGGCTCTTAGGTACTTGCTCAATTGTTTTCAAAATATTGCTTTCTTTGTGCTTGTGGGTTTGAAAAAAAATTTGTTTTGAAAACTTCGATTTAACTCTTGCTTCTGTCCTCAAGAGCGTATGAAGTGTTTTTGAAAACTTTGTTCGAAAAGTGTAAGTGTGAAGAGTTTTTGTTTTTTGAAAGAGCAAGTACTTAAGAACCATCTACCTACTCGAAAAAGGAATCGTTCTATGTTATCTTCCTTTAGACAATGATATCCCACTATTGATGAGTAGGCAGCATCGTCGTTGGAGTTTGAGGGTCAATTCGAATGAGGGACATACGATCACCAAATCAATGTTAGGACGCCTTAGCGGTAACCCTAATGTCTTAGATCATTTGTTTGAGGCAATTATATCTGACGCAACCGTTTCGAGGCGACTATGATCTTTAGACAAGAGGACAACCTCTAAAGTGACCTATACTCAATGACCGCGTACGAAGGCAACCAAGTGGGGTGTACCCTAAGAGTGCGCATGTGCGAGTGTGTCGTTTTCAGTTTATTTTATCTTTGTACATGTTAAAGGTGATCTAAGTTGATTTTAGGTTTAAACATTCAATCTTATCATGCAATCCTATTATCAAACATCTAACAGTTATAAGTTGCGGAAATTAAAATGCGGAATTTAAATTACAAGGCGTCGGGTATTTACATTGCCAAAGACAAACCCTTTAAAAGTAAATAAAGCGATAAATAAATAAATAAAGGTCCTATTTACTATTACAAACCGGAATCAGATACATAATAGGATAAAAGAAAATGAATCGCGTGCAGGAAATTAAATCGAGCGCAAAGTTCTAGGGTTTTGACCCTTTTTGTTAAAGAAAAGATCTTTTTTTTGGTTTTTATTTTAAGAAAGAAATTAACCTAAACTAAATTAATAAATAAATTAATTAATAATAAAAAAAAATTATTTTTGGGTTCTTTTGTTATTTTAAGAAAGAAAATAAAAATTAATTGAATTAATAAAAACCTAATTAAATCTAATTTAATTTTAATTATTTACAAAAATATGTTAAAGTTATTCTAATTAAGAACCTAAATTTATTTAATTAGTGTTTATTAATAAAAAAGGAAAAGTTAAAATTTTATTGAATAAAAATATTTTTGGTGATTTTATTTTAGAAAAGAAAAGAATTTTTTAATTGGTTAGTAATTAAAATAATAAAACAATTAATATAAACAAAATAAAAAAATAGAAAGAGAGAAAGGGGGTATGGGCCTGAAACTGGTGTGTGAATAGCAATCTGGAGGCCCAAAACACGCTGGCCTTGGTGGACTTTGTGAGATCTAGTGGGCGTGTGTTGACTTTGCTTATGATGGACCCTCACTCCTGGATCACCAGATTTGGCCTTTGGCCATCTGGCCATTGGATAGATGATAGTGTATGGTATGTTGCGCGCCTGGATATGCATATGATCACCTGAAGAGAAAAAACAAATGGAAATTGGGGGACCTGAGATTCGAACCCAGGTCCTGATGGTGATTGGAACGCACGCTTGCCACTACGCTGTTTTGCTTCGTTTGTTAATATATTACACAACAATGATAATATGCCAAAACAATAATTATTGGTCAGAATAAAAAAAATATGTGCGCGCGATTTGAACGCACCAATGGGCAGGGGACACCTCATCGTCCCTGTCTTGAAACCTGTAAAACATTTACCTGCGGATTTGAATCCTCAGCTAAAAGCGCAGGTCCATTCAAAAATCCATCTCAGGCCACATAAATCCATTCCAGGACCATGGTTGGGTTCGTTAGGGCCTCCTGAGCACAACCATACCCATCTTGTAGCCTAATTTCACCTGAAAAGGAAAACCCCAAAAATGCTTCCAAGAACCCTAACTATGGCGCTTTACGTTACGGGTTAGATAAACAAAATTGAATAATGCTAATAGTTTGGAAATGTTATGAGGATTTCAAATATACCAACAATTTACTCAAATGATGCAAGAATGATGAGATATGATTTCAAGAACAGAGCGGATTATCTTGACACTTACAGCGCGTTTGGGCATATGAGCAAGCTTGCTTTTGATCCAGGAAGGTTGAGTGAACACCCAGGAAGCGATTGGGATAACTTTTGGCTTCTGAAAATGCCTCTTGCTATGATTTCGAATTCCAACTTTTTATGACTTTTTTCGATTTCTGTTCTGCCTATGCCTGCACTCTCCAACCCTTATTCACGTCCCTTTGGCTTGTTTATGTAGTATGGAATGTATTAGGGTAACAATTATGGCTTGAATCTTCTTATATCAATGCTTTGGGATTTGATTTGATTCACCCTTTAAACCTTTCCAAATTTGCCAAATCTCCATCTTTTTGTTCATGATATGGTGTGATCCGAATTTGATGATGATCATGATGATAATTAAGACCTGAAACAGCCAAAAAATCTTAGGTAATCAAAGTTTTGGATTTTATATGATTTAATTTGATTTAAAATGAATAAATTCAAATTAAAATCAAATAAAATAATAAAAATAGAATATGGGCTCATGGCTGAATCTAGGACACGTGGGAAACTATGCAAGCTCAAATCAAGTGGAAAAGAATGGGCCCATTTGACAAAATTTGAAGTTTTGGGGATAGTTGACTTTTGGCAATTTTGCAAAAATCCCCAACTTCAACAATGCATAACTTCGTCAATTTTGAACTTTTGGAAGTGTTCTTGGACTTTTTAGAAAGCTTGAGATGTCCTATAACCAAAACTTTTGGTCTCATCTCATTTTGATATTCCATGCTCAAGTTATGAGCTTTGGAAAAAAGGTGTTTTTGTTGACTTTAAAAAATGACCTATAATGTCCAAATTTGTAACTTCTTGTGAGTGCATTTTTTGATCTTGGGGGTATGAATATGGATCGTATGAAATTGCATC